ATCGAAAGTGGACTTGGGCGTCACCAGATGGCATACACAAGAACATGTTTGATCTGATTCTCATTCAAAGAAGATGGAAGACGTCGGTCATCAATTGTCGAACATTTCAGAGTGCAGACATAAGCTCAGACCACTCATTAGTCTTATGCAACATCAAACTGCGACTAAAGAAAATGTATAACAAGCCGCAACAATCCTATAGAGTTGATGTAAACCGATTGAAAGATGAGAAAATAAGACAATCATACAGTACTACACTAATAAAAACCATGGAAAACATAGAGCCATCATGTAATCTGGAAGTCCATTCAAACCATATAAGACAGGCAATTCAAAACACAGTAGAGACAACGATACCTGCAAAAAGAAAAACTAGAAAACCGTGGATTTCCGAAGCGACACTAAAATTTGCTGATGAAAAACGAAAACTAAAACAGATGAAAAACATTTCCATAGAATACACACAACAATATAAAGACTCATGCCGGAGAGTCAAGAAATCTGCAAGACAGGATAAAGAGCATTGGATACAAGATCAATGCGAACAAGCTGAAAAAGGTCTAAACATTGGAAATACCAGAGAAGCATACAGCCTATTGAAAATGTTAAAAAGCGAATTTGTACCTCGGTTGAATGTGATACGAGATCAGCAGGGCGCAATGTTACAGTCCAAGGATGACATAAAGCAAAGGTGGACACAATATTGTAGCAGGCTGTATAAAGATCCTGGGGGTGGAGACGGGATGGCAGAAGAACTTGAAGACATCGCACCTCCCGTAGACGGAAATTCCTCGGATGTTCTGTACTCTGAGGTCGAAGCAGCTATACGTGCATTAAAAAGAAATAAGAGTCCAGGATCAGATGGGATCACGGCCGAAATGCTACAAGCTGGGGGCGAACCACTAGCACGGCAGATCCATAATCTCTGTAACAAAGCATGGAATGAAGGTACAATTCCAGAGGATTGGGGTAAATCCATCCTGGTACCAATTCCGAAAAAAGGAAAAGGAGATCTCAGCAATTGCTCGAACTATCGAACGATCTCTCTGATTAATCATACAGGAAAAGTACTCCTAATAGTACTGCGAAATAGATTAAAAAATCATCTGGATCCGTACCTCTCAGAAGAGCAGGCAGGGTTCCGAACAGACAGGAGTACCATACATCAGATACTAACGCTTAGATTATTGGCTGAAAAAGCAAAAAGACAGGGTAAGAAAATATACAACTGCTTTATAGATTTTCAAAAAGCATTCGATACCATCAAACATAAAATTATTTGGTCTATGCTAAAATCCTATGGTGTTGACACAAAAATGGTCACCCTGCTACAGAAAATATACGAAAAGTCACAGTCAGCTGTTCGCATTGGTAAAGAAAATGGCGAGTGGTTTCAACCAGACGTAGGAACAAGACAAGGCGATCCTTTATCACCACTCATCTTCATTGCATATCTAGAAAGGGTAATGGATCAGGTGAGGCAGAACACCTGCGGAATCAATGTCGGTGGAATCGTTATAAATAACCTAAGATTCGCGGACGACATTGATCTTATAGATGAAGATCTTAGCTCACTTCAAAGCCCAATTGAGCTAACAAAGACAGCGGCCGAACAAGCTGGACTAATATTAAATATAAATAAAACCAGAACCATGGTTTTTGGAGACAGGAATATTGAAAGTAAAATCAATGTAGCAGGTGAAACCATCGAAAATGTAGAAAAATTTGAATATCTAGGAAGTCTGCTGACATGGGATAACAACTGCTCAGAGGAAATCAAAAGGAGAATAGGAAAAGCGACAGGTGCATTGGTTTCATTGAAACATATTTGGAACAGCAAAAAACTGAAGATTGAAAACAAACTCAGAATTTTAACAACATGCGTCTTCAGTGTCCTACTATACGCGTCAGAGACATGGACTTTAAAAGAGGCAGACAGGAAAAAACTATTGGCTTTTGAAATGAAATGCTACCGACGGATTCTAAAAATTAATTGGCAGGACATGATACGAAACGAGGATATTAGGAAAAGGATATCAAGAGAAGAGACGATAATAGATACTATCAAAAGAAGAAAGCTAAGGTTATTTGGTCACATCTGCAGAATGGACGACACTAGATTAATTAAACACGTTGTTTTTGCTAAAATGGATGGAAAATCTAGACGGGGGCGCCCATGCAGAGAGTGGCTGGATGATATAACCGAATGGTGTCAACGCAGTGGACAAGATCTGTTTCATCTTGCGCAAGACCGACAGGCGTGGAAAAATCTGATCTCGTAAATGGTTAGCCCCAACGGGCGCTAAGCCTATGGGACATGATGATGATGATGATGATGATAATATTTTACAAGTTCGAAAAAAGTTGCGGAATCGTTTTTCGGTACGTTTTGTCGCTTGTAACAAACATTTTAAATCAAATTCTTTTGTACATTTTTGCCCTAGACACTTTGCTCTTTCTAACAAAAAAGAAGAAGAGATCTCTACAATATTCTATTACACTACTATATCAAAAAAAAATTCATGCAGAACTTTTGCATCACCCGTTATTTTCGATAGCTAAATAAGAGAATTAATCATTAGAGGACCTTTTTTTTGATTCGAGAATGGTAGCTGATTATCATAGAAAACTATCCATATTTTGAGAATTTCTTCTCACAAAAATATCGGATTGAACTGAAAGTTTCAGAAAGTACATAACTCATGTTGAAAAATCGTGTCTGCTTGCCTTGCCAATTAAATCAATATTTAGAATAATAATAATGTTAGATTCAGACAAACAGAATACGTAAATGAACAATACCGAGCAAATAGCAACAAGAGCGAACAAAAAATCGAGAACCAGTAATAAAAATCCATAGAAAACCTTTCTGTTCAAAATGCAGAAATAAGTAAAATGAATCATTTCTCTGGTGATCGATGGTCTTGGATGTGGGTAGGGTATGGGTGTGGGTGTGACTGTTAATCTTCACTTGATTCATACTCACACTCGCACCCAACCCACACCCACACTCTCCGAATGTTGAACGATGATTAGCATCTGAAGCTGAACAAGATTCAATAAATTTCGATTAAGAGCAAACATGGCCAACTAGGCAAGATATTCAACAATATGAACATCAATTAAAAAAAACGTGTACCTAAAGGAACTTCTCAATATTAAACTGCATGGATTATTTCTGATGATGAAGATAATCAGTCTCTCAATCAACAAAATGTTTAGTTTTTTTTTAATATTAAATCTTTTTCAATATATTAGGATTTTGATGAAGATCATCAAGAAATCATGACTGATTATGCTGATGATCTACAATCAATTAAACTTG